TATCATTTAATTTCTTTGTTTGGCCTAATTGCCCTGGCTAGAGTTTCAAGAACTATGTTGAATAGAAGTGGTGAACGAGGGCACATCTGTCTTGTTTTAGGTTTTAGAGGGACTGCTTCCAAGTTTTCTCCATTTACAATAATGTAGGCCTTAGGTTTAACAAATATAGTTTTTGCAATGTTGAGGTATGTTCCTACAATCCCTAGTTTTTCTAATGTTTTGAACATGAATAGATGCTGTACTTTGTCAAATGCTTTTTCTGCATGTATTGAGATAACATATGAGTCTTATCTATATAAGTCTATTGATGTGTTGAATTACTCTTGTTGATTACCATATGTTGAACCAACCTTGTATCCCTGGGATAAACCCCACTTGATCATGGTACACTAACTTTTTAATATGTTTTTGTATATTATTTTTCAGCATTTTATTAAAAATTTTGCATCTATGTTCATCAGAGATTTTAGTCTGAAGCTTTCTTTCCTTGATGTGTCTTTGTCTGATTTTGGTATCAGGGTGATACTAACTTTATAAAATGAGTTTAAATGGGATCCCTCTTTTCATATTCCATGGAATGATTGGAGGAGTATGTGTGTTAGTTCTTCTTTGAAAGTCTGGTAGAACTAGAAACAAAAGTGAAGAAAGAAACTTGAGCAGAATTTTCCCATTTTTTAATGGTCCATGAAATATATTTTATAGTTTTCTTTTATAGCTCAGAAAGAAAGTTGGTTTTTAGTGAGGTTAACTGCTTTCCTAGAAAGAAATATTTCTCCACAGCTTAAGGGAAAATCTTAAAGAATCTCCAGAGGAAGAGAACAATCATTACAGCTGCCATCTAACATTACCTCTCTACAGCACAGTTCCAAATACCATTTAGTCCAAGCTGGGGAGGGCTTCCTAGATCATTGGCTCTTGTTCTTCTCCCAGGGGAAAAAATAAAATAAAAATGTAAACACATACACACACACACACACACACACACACACACTCACCGCAACTTCTCTTAGGGTTATGAAAGAATTCAGCTAGAATTCTTCCAAAGGAACTACAACTAGAAACAGGAGAAAAAGCAGCAGAACCCTAGGGACAGAAAAGTTTGCAGAGCACATTCTTTGATTCTTGAAAGTTCTCCATCTTTGCTAGCCACTGTTTTCTGTCCTCAGGAATGAAAGCTGAATAAGGCATAGTCTCTACTTCCTGGAAACACAGTCAGTAGTCTAAGGGAAGCATACAGGACCATGAAAGTTCCAATTGATGATGTGTAGTAAATGTTTAACTTTCAGGAAAAGAAAGCTCCTGGTTTGGAATTTTACTATTGCTGGGGATCAAACCCAGGACCTTGTACATGATAGATAGGTAAATACTCTACTGCTGAGCTATATTCCCAGCCCCAAATTTCTGGCTCAATAAATAAATAAGTAAATAAAAAATATTTCCAATTCATAGATTTTTCCATTACATAATACATCCTCTGTGGCCAATTTTAAGTGACTGATGCCAACTAAATATTGGGAAGAGATGCATAGTAACACATCATTATGAAGTACGTCCTCTATACATAGAGAGAGAGAAAAGTGGACTTTATAGCATAAATAATAGTACAATATAATACAATAATTTAGAATATTATCCTTTTTTCAGTTCAAATTGCTTTTGGTTTCCATATACTTCATTTAATTGGAAATATACATGATTTCTTTTTTAATAAGGTAAAAATCATATAATACCTAATGAACCATTTTAAATTATACAGGTCACTATCATTTAGTTCATTCACAATGTTATATATCAAGTACCTCTATCAAGTTTCAAACTAATTTTATTATCACAAAAGGCAGCCCCATGTTCATTAAGCAATCACTCCTCCTTCCAACCTTCCCTAGACGTCAGCAACCATCCATCTGCCTTCAGTCTCTATAGATTTACTTATTTTGAATATTTCTTATAAAGTAATGACATAATATTTCATTTTTTCCTGTATGGTTCCTCTCACTTAGCATAATGCTTTCAACGTTCATCCACACTGTGGCTACATCGGAACATCATTTTGTAGTTGACTATGTTCTATTATATGAATGTACCACATCTTATTTATACATCAATTGATAAGCATTTGTATTGTATCCATTCTTTTGGCTACTATGAATAGTACCACTGTAGACACTTGAGTAAAAGTATTTTTAACAATTATTTTCAATTTGGGGGGTATAAACTTCTCAGTAGAATTTCTAGGCCATATTATAATTCAATATTTATCTTTTTAAGACATTTATAGACTGCTTTATATGACATTGCACTATTCTACTTTCCTACCAATCATGTATGAAAAGTGTCATTTTTGTATGCCCTTTCCAACATTTGTTAGTCCTTTGTGGTCATACCTAGGCTAGTGGATATAAAATATTCAGTGTGATGTTAATTTCCATTTTCCCAATAACTAATACCATTATGCATATTTAAATGTGCTTGTTGGCCATTTGTACATTTTCTTAGAAGAAATATTGACGCAATCATATGCTTATTTTTAAATTGGGATGCTTGTCTTTATGGTAATGGGTTATAGGAGTTCATTTTATATTCTGTACATTAAATCTATATTGTATATATGACTGTCAAATATTTTCTTCCATCCTTTGGATTAACTTTTAATTTTCTTGATCATGTCTTTGAAGCACAAAGGTTTTTAGTTTTGATGAAGTCCTCTTTCTCTTTTGTTTTCTGTGGCTTTTGTTTTTGGTATCATTTTAAAAACCACTATCATTTAGTACATTCACAATGATATATCAACTACCTCCATCAAGTTTCAAACTAATCTTATTATAACAAAAGACAACCCCATGTTCATTAAGCAATCACTCCCCCTTCCAACCTTCCCTAGACCTCAGCAACCATCAATCTGCCTTCAGTTTCTATAGATTTACTTATTTTGAATATTTCTTATAAAGGAATGACATAATATTTCATATTTCCTGTATGGTTCCTCTCACTTAGCATAATGCTTTCAATGTTCATCACACTCAGGTGATGAAGGTTTACCCTTTTAAAGTATTTTAACTCTTAAATTTATGTCTTTGATCCATTTGGAGTTAATTTTCATATATTATGTGAGTTAGGGTTCTGACTTCATTTATTTGCATGTGGATATCCAGTTGTCTTAACATCACTTATAAAGGAGACTTTTTTCCCCATTGATTTATTTTGGTACTCTTGTCAAAACTACTTGGCTCTACATGTATAATTTATTTTCTGATCTCTTCATTCCATTTCACTGATCTGCATGTCTATTCTCATGATGGTACCACACTGTTATGATATCTGTGGTTTTGTTGTGTTTTGAAATTAAGAAATATGAATCTGTATGAATCCATTAACTATGTTCTTCATTTTAAGTATTGTTTAAGTTAGTTGAGGTCCTCTGCTATTCCATATGAATTTATCATGTTTCTAATTTCTGCAAAAAAAAAATTGCCATTGGGTGACATCTCTGTCTGACTTTGGTATCAAGCTAATGTTGGCTGTATGGGTGTTAATTTTTTAGTAAAGCCAACTGGTCATATGTAATTTGTTGAGTTACATATTTTCACAATGTCCTTCTAAACTCCTTTTAATTTTCTCTCTAAAAAGTTGGTAGTATGTTCACAGTTTCATATCTCACTTTGGTCATCTGAGTCCCCACAATTCTTGTCTGTTTGGGTTTTTTTCATAAAGCTATATTTTAGTTGTGTTGATTTTCTCTATGGTCTTTCTATTCTCCATTCAATTCATCTTTATTCTAATCTTTATTATTTTATTCCTTCCGCATTATTTGTGTTAATTTTACTCTTCTGTTTCTATTTTCTTAGGGGCTGAATATGTTTTACCAATTTGAGATCGTTTATAATTTAGAAATTTACAAGTGTTAGTTTCATGGTATCTTATAAGTTTCAGCATGTTACATTTTAATTTCCAATTATTTCAAAGTATTTTCTAATTTCTATGTAATTTATACCTTAAAATTCTTTTCTATTAGTGAATTATAGTTATACCTAATATTGAGGTTCATTTTGAGATAATTACACAAGCATGAAATATAATTTGCTCCATGTCCGTCACCCCTACTTCCCCTTTCCTTCCAATACTCCTTCCCCATTTCCCTTCCTCTATAGGTCTTTCTTATATTTATTTTTAATTTTTTAAAAATTAGTGCTTTATAGTTTTAAAGGTGAAATTCACTGTGGTATATTGATGTATATACATAGTAGATTTTGGTCGATTTAATTCCATATTTCTTCACTGTGCTCTTCCCTCCTCACTCCTCCTCAGTCACAGTTCTGTGCTCCACTGATATTCCTTCTCATTTCCATGAGATTCCCCCCATTTTTCCCCTTATTTTGTCTAGCTTCTACATATGAGAGAATATATATTCAACCTTTGATATTCAGAGTCTAGCTTATTTCACTCAGCATAATGGTCTCCAGTTCCATACATTTACCAGTAAATGACATAATTTCACTCTTCTTTATAGTGAGTAAAACTTCATAAATCAGGTTAGAAGTTCATTTTAAAAGACCAAATGAGTATTAAATAACCTAGGAAGAAGTAACAGAGAGATAGAAATGAAACAATTCAAAAGAAAAAAAATATAGACAAAAAAATTCCAAATGATGATATTGCTCTAGTTTTAATAATGAGCACTGAGCTTAGAAACTCATAGATATTCTTAATCTTCATGCTTCAGCCTCATACTATTCATGCAATTGAGCTTATGTGGTAAGTGCACAAATGAGGCAATTAAGTTGTAATTTACCAAGGCAAATAAAAAAGCAATCTATGTGACAACACCCACAATGATACCAAGCAGAAACACAAAAAGGTTTTGATGAAAAATATATTTTAGTATAAGTAAAGCAGGGAAGAGAAAGTCACACTAAGACAGTCATTCTTTTGATCACGTGGCAAACATTTCCTAAAGTTACAATACCATTAAATCTAACTGGATGTGTGTTTTACACACAGGTATGGACACAACAGAACACACTTCTGATGAGCCACTGCTCAGAGGCAAAAGGAGGCAAGATCTTCAAGAGATGCTGAGGCAAGTAGGACTGGATATTGAGTACTGGTTGCCCAAGCTGCAGCAAGATCTGGGCTTGACCTGTCCTCAAGTCATACAACACTTAACAGAAAAAGACCTCCAGAAACTGAAATCCCAGGTACAACATCCATGGGAGAAAAGGGCCCTGGAGAAGCTGGTTGTCCTGTCACACTCAAATAGTCTTCCAGAGTTTCAGGAGTCACCAGTGGAAATGATAATGAAAAAGCAGAAGCAGGTAGAACAATTGCTGCAGGAGCTGGGAAACTTCTTATTAGAAGGGAGGCAGAGACAGGAAGAAGCAGTGAGGAAAAAAGAAGCAGAGCTGAGGGAAGCCATGGAGATCCCTGAAGAGTACTGGCCAGTGCCTGAAAAACCCCTAAGAGAAGTCATGGAAATCATGCAGCGACAACTCAGTCCCAAGGAGCAGACACTGTCTCACAGGCAAAACCTCCCAGATAGAGATCTAATAAGATGGGCATCTGGAGGGCTTGCTCTGCAAGGGGTTTACCAAACATGCAACCAAATAGACCTGATACAGAAGAGGGAGGAGCTACTCAGTATCCCCAAGGATTTCTCCCTCTTTGGCCCCCAGCAAAGCACAAGAATGGAAACAAAACAATTTACATCTTTTCAAGAAGAATCCATGTTCACCCAGACAATAGAAAAGATGGGCTTCAGTGTAAGTGCCTCTGCCTATGGTGGAGGCTGGGGAATTCCAATAGAGATTGGAATGAATAAAAGCAAGCATTCAGAATCCAAGGAAACACAACAAGCAAGTTCTGAGTGTACATATTTCTGCTCAACCAAGTTCTGCTATGTCCCACTGGCCTCTTGCTACTTTCACATGAATGAGCTTCAGCTATCCAAGCCTGCCCTTCAGGAATTGAAATACATGGAAGTAGTCTTGGATCAGAGGGCAGACACAGATAATGTCTCTTTACTGAAGCAGAGGACTGAAATTTTCTTCCGCAGGTTTGGCTCTCATGTAAACCAAGGTCCTATGCACCTGGGAGGAATCTATGGATGGAAGGCAATTTCAGAGGGATTCCAAAGTGACCAGCTGGCTGATGTGAAGCAGCAAGCAGCAGAGGTCCTGGATATTTACATAAAAGGAAGCTACAGTGGATATCCAATAAAAGTTGCTGGGGATATGAGTGTGTCAGACTCACATTGCAAAACAGTTTCCCAAAGCCAAATTTTACAAAATCTTCAAACCAAAATCCAACTATCTGTAGCCCAGATAGGTGGCCCAACAGAAGCAGATAGCCTTGTCCAGTGGAAAGCTGGCCTTAGTTCCAGCAATCAAACCTGGTGTGTCATTGACCGGGAACTTCAGCTGGTGCCCGTTTGGGACATCATCCTCTCTAGTCACAGAAGTGACTTTAAAGATCCCCTTAAGATAGCTAACTGCCTGAAAGACAACTACACTGCTCTGACTGGCCTCAGTGCACAGATCCAGGAGGGAAGTGGATTGTTGAGTGCTGGGAAGGAGGCAAGAGTTTTCCTAGAGGAGGTAAAATCCTGGGAGGTAACTGATCCTGAAGTGCAGCTTCAAAAACTGATAGCATTCATGCAAACACTGAGTCAAAAAATAAATGATTATGACACTTGGATTAACCAATGTCTCACAGACTGGGACCTACAGAATTTTCTAGTAAACACTGTCAATTTTAGCAAAAATTCTTCCAGACATAAAATTACTTTTATTAAATCACAGTTGCGCACTCTTCTGGATCCCCACGTCTACAAAGTGAAAAACTTTCCTCAGGCTCGCTCCATCATGCAATGGATCTACTGTAAGTCAGAGTCAGAGCAAGAGCAGCTCAACATCTCCCAATTTTCTCAGTTTATTAAAATCTTAAAGGAAACCCAGAATGAACTCTTTGAAGTGAATGTCAAGTGTGAAGACCAAGAAACAGAGAAAGAAGCTCAAAGAAACGTCACCTATAAGATCAGCTTAGCTCTCAGCAGCTTCCTGAATCACCTCCAAGCAACAGAGCAGACAGACACACACCTCTTGATACTTTCCATTGCAGCTGGTGCAGGATATCAGGTGGTAAGCAATGTTTTTTGGTATCTCCTGGGCCGTGATGAGCTAAACTTCCTACTGGATGAAATGCAAACTGCCTTCAATAAATACCAGGAGCTCAAAAATATTTCAAGCTACAGAGCTCATGCATTCCTAGTGCTCACAGGTCTGACAGCCAAAGCTGGAGTAGTAGCTGTTTCTCCAGAAGAGAAGATAAAACGCATGGAGTTTATGAGAAAACATATGGGACGATTTATTTCTAAAGAAGTTGTACATGTCCTCTCTAAACTTGGGGCAGATCATGATTGGGAAAACCTAGAAAGAGACTTGAGGTTGCTCATTGATGGGGATTGTGAAGCCACCATCTCTTCTTTGAAAATGGATGAGGTCAAAAGACAGCTACAAAGTCTTCTCCATGAAAAAAAACAGCCCTGTGAATCAGATATTAATGCAAGTAACACAAGTGAAATAATAGAAAACAGAGCCTTTCTAGATTTACTCCAGCGTCTTGGCCTAGAACATTACTACCCAAAAAGGATGAATAGAGCTGACTTCCATTTGATCTACAAGACTTCTGTGTACAACACCCAGCCCAAATGTGAACAGGAACTTCCCTTCTATTTTCTTCAGAAACTACTGATGCTGGATTATGGACTGAGGTACCATGTCTTCAAAGATGATGAAAACATAGAACATCAGGTCTCTTCAAGTGCCTCCAAACAGGAAAATGAGGCTATTGATCCTTATGAAGACTTTTTTGAAGATGGTGATAGTCTTACTAATCCTTTGAGAACAGAGTCCAGGCCCCACATTCACCCCATGGATATTCAGATGGCCATTTTTCATTGTGCAGATGATTTTGCCAGACAATATATTTTGACCAAATTATCCATCTGTCAATTTGCCCTGCCCCTCCTGGTGCCAAATCCCTGCACTTCTCAAATTGAATTCTCTCTCTGGTCTCTCAGACAAATTAGGAGAAGTTGGCAGGAAGGAAAGAAATCACCACAAGGGAAGAACATTCACAAGAATCTTCACATGTGTCGTGTCTCCACTCCCATTGTGTCCTTCATTAGAATAGGCAATGGCCTCTCTGCTTCCAAATCTCAGATCATGAACTGTCTTCTCAGTGAACATAAACATGATGTGTTTTTCCACCGACACTGCAGAGAAAGCAGCAAGAATTGCCTCTTGATGGGGGGTGTGGTGGAAATCTGCTGGTTCTGCCCTGGAGGGGAAGAGGAGGACAGGTTTGACAACTGTGTGACCTTCATGAACCTTCATGGAGATGCAAAGGAACATAAGAGGCAACTCACCTTCCTGCAGGAGGTCTCCTCTCTCATTGTGGTCCTCATGTCTGCTTCTGATGAAAATAAAGAAAACAAAAAAATAGTCCGTGACCTGTGGCAATCATCAAGACCTCTGATATGCTTACTTGATGACAAAGAAAAATCCAAAGCCAATAATGGTGGTAGAAGAGTGAAAATTGGCCTGAGGAATAGAAATGAGGCAGAATTGACAGAGGAGCTGATAATTACCATCAGACGTTTGCTAGAGCTCTGTGACACTGCTCTCAGCATGGAGCACTGCTCTCCAATTGCTCGCCAGCAAGGATTTCTTATTGATGAAGACCAGAAAAATTGCAAGGAAGCCAAACAAAAGGCTGAGACTATCATGGACCTCCTAAAAGAAACAGAGTTGTCTCAGATGAAGGAAAAATTTCTACCCCTTCAGGGGCAACTATGGCATCTTTGGTGTAAGAAGGACAAAGAACTATATCATTTGAGAGAAAAGGGGAATAGAAGCATTGAACAACACAAGAGTGATGTTGAGGCAGATAAACAAATAATACGACATCAGCAGTTGACAAGAGCCTTTCCTCTTGAAGATATAATGGGATTTGTCCTTCAAATTCTCCATGAATATTCAGAAACTCACACTATATTCTACTTCTTGCAATGGATGAGTGTGTTTTTGGATAGCCTGACTGCAGAGCATTTGGAAAAATTGCATGAAAAACTAATTCATTTGTGGTCAATTGTGAAAACAGAAAAGCAAAAATCCCAAACCAGCAACTTAAAACTCTGGCAAAATAAAATAGAAGCCATATCTACTGAGATTACTGACTGTACCTTGGGAATTGAGCAGTTTCTCAGAGAAGTTGGCCAGATCTATGAAGCTCTGGAAGAAAGTTCTGCCAAAAGAGAGACAATTTTTCTCTCCCTTCCCCAAATTGCTGCAGACCTGATGATAGCTGGTGTCCCCATAGAGCTGATGGACGGAGATGCTTCCTATGTGCCCCTAAAGTGGGTGGCAGCTATTCTTGACAAGCTCTCTGAGAAACTTGGAGACAAACGGCTCTTTGTTCTCTCTGTCCTTGGCCTGCAGAGCTCTGGGAAGTCCACTCTGATGAATGCTCTTTTTGGGCTGCAGTTCACTGTAAGTGCAGGCAGGTGTACCAAGGGGGCCTACATGCAGCTCCTGAAGGTGGCTGAGTCATCCAGAGAGGAACTTGGCTTTGATTTTTTGCTTGTTGTAGACACAGAAGGACTTCGGGCCCCAGAACTCAGCAACAAGTCCCAGAATTGGGACAATGAGTTAGCCACCTTTGTCATTGGGCTTGCAAACTTGACTCTGATCAATATATTTGGGGAGAATCCATCAGAAATGCAAGATATCCTACAGATAGCTGTCCAAGCCTTTCTGAGGATGAAACAAGTGAAAATCTCCCCAACTTGCATATTTGTGCATCAGAATGTAGGAGAAATGACAGCTAAAAACCGAACTACAGAAGGACGAAGGCGGTTAGAGCACAGGCTAGATGAAATGGCAGCACTGGCTGCTAAACAAGAAGAGTGCTCAGATGTAACCTGCTTCAGTGACGTCATTAAGTTTGATGTCAATACTCATGTGTACTACTTTGCTCACCTCTGGGATGGCAATCCCCCCATGGCCCCTCCCAATCCTCACTATAGCCACAATGTCCAGGAACTGAAAAGTAAAATCCTTTTGACTGCCAAACAGGAATCCAGAGGAAGTATCATGAGAATATCAGACGTAAAATTCAGAGTTCAAGATTTGTGGAGAGCCCTGGTAAGTGAAAACTTCATTTTCAGTTTCAGAAACAC